CAATTACTTATACGAAGAAAACCACTTCCGAGATTACTAAATAGTACTGTACAACCTTTCCTTAATCCAATCCACCTAGGACAGAAAATGAGCACCAAAACCCACAGCAAGTCGAAGCGGCTCATCTAGCTTGGGAAGTTTCAGCACAGGTCTTCCTACATGGCCCATGGCCAGCTTGCCTTCCCACCAGAGAAATCCAGTGTGTTGAAATACTTGCTGCAACAGTGCAGACCCGGGAGATGAGGAGTGATGTGTTGTGATTCACAGGCCTGGCAAGGGCATGCAACAAAGACATTATTTGGACATGCTCTCCTTCTTCCCATCTTCAGTGTACAGAGAAGGTATGTCTGTCATGGGCTCCTGTGACACCTCCTCACAAAGGAAATGGATCTGCTGTCAGCCACTGCTACAGTTTCCTCCAAATCCACCACATCACCATTAGGAAAGTATGACTGATGGAGGACCCACATACTTAGTGGACCTTCTTCCACTTTGCCTTACATTACAGCACATTACTTAAGAAAAGTCTAAGTATCTGTTAAAGGAGTTCATCAACAAATATGGATTACATGAAAAAACAACTGTTTATTCCCTCTAAACTTAAGACATCCACCATCGTTATACTGCCTGTCAAACTGTAAGTGTGCTAAAGGGGTAACATATTCAATGGCACATACACATAAAATGCTAACATGAAAACATCCATGTGCAAAGGATCAAAGCCAATGTATTCTCCCAGTGACGGTTCTTCTATGCCAGGAAACAAAATACACTGTGTACAGGGGATGGTACCCTTGCTTCTTGGCTTTTAGCCAAGATCAAGTGTAAAAAGGGAAGGCATAAAAATGTAGAAAGGATACTGGAGAAAATGAAACGACTTGAAAATTAACAGAAATTTGTCATTAATAAGTCATAAGGATCAGGAATGGTGGCACACAACTGCAATCCCAAGACTCAGAAGGCTAAGACCAGAGGATCACTGCAAGTTCTAGGCCAGTCTGGGCTACATAAAAAGATCCTGTCTCAAAAGAAAACAAATAGACAAACAAGGAACCCCCAAATAGAAATAAATTACTGATATTTCAAACATTGATATTGGTATTTTAATTTAAAAATTTTAAATATCTCTTACCTCTGAAAAATTTATAGATAATTATGTGACCTACTTCAACTAATACAGAATGAGGAAGAGGGAAGTAGCAGGTGAAGGATCACCTATATGTTAACAACTAATTAAACTAAGGTAGGTATATGAGAAATTTTGTGTGTGTGTGTGTATGTGTGTGTATACACATATACATATGGGGGGTCAGTGCATGTGTATGTGTGTGTCTGTGTATGTATGTGAATATATATATTCATGCACATATACACATATGGGGGGTCAGTGTATGTGTGTGTATCTTGTTTTCAAATATGCTTGGTGGCTAGGAGTATATGTAAGGTCCTGAATTTAGTTCCCAGCACTGTGTGTGTATAAGCGCATGCATGTGATTTTTCTAAAATGAATAAAAACTGCTTCTTCAAAAGATCACATCAATCTTTTAATTAAATGTTGTATGTTAAAATTATTTACAGTCAGCACTATTTGGACTTGGGTTATCAATAACAAAAAACAATAAAAAGAAGTCATGAAGTTGAGAGGGATATGGGTTGGGGAACTAGGGGAAATTGGAGGAAGATAACGTTGGATGGATATGGTCAATATACATTATATAAATGTTAGGAACTTTCAGAGAATAAAAACTTGCTTAAAAACTATTTAAATAATTCACGTTAGTATTTACTGGCAACAAAGGTATATTTAAGCATATTCAAAACGCTAAAGGAAAAATTAATTTCAACAATAGTTTTCACTTAAATTTGCCTACTGAGTTTAGGAAATTATATGGTAATGCATGAAGTCTGCAGAGTAGGTTCAAAGAGCTGTAAGGTACCATCTTTTACTTTCAATTAAGAAAAACAATTATGAAAGGAACTAGGTAAAGCTTGTAACTAACATTCTCTCAATTAATGAGGAAGTTCTACACACATTTTCAGGAAAAAAGTTAGAGGGATCTGATTACACGCAAGCTTTTTCACTTTTTCTCTGAAATGCTGGTTTTCAGTACATAAATTCAAATGTATATAGCAATACATAACATTAAGACAATAGGAAAGGGGCTAGGCATGCAGTTAGGAGACAGAGCGCTTTCACACCTAGCATGGAGGAAAAACAAGATTCAGATCTTTCAATGACAGAATATTGGTGATCAGCTCTCTCAGGCAGAGGTGGCATGAGACTTTCAGAGATGTTGTTTTCAAACAAGTCTACAGAAATACCCCAGAGATTCATATACATTCCCACTAAATTCTCTCTTCAGACTGTTTCTAAGAAGGCTAGGTAAGAAAATCCACTGTCAGAACACACTCTGTGCAGCCAGCACACAGTGACAGTGTTGAACACCATGATCATGGCTCCAGAACCCTTTCTTGTCCTCCTGCCTCCAGGCTAGGTACTCCTGCAACAGGATTTCATAAAAGGCTCTCTGCACTTACCAATCTTTTCAAAATTACTGATGATGCAGCCTGGCTGCATGTAACCTGTACACTGTGCTTTGCAGTCAGAAAATTAGCAGGCACATCCAATCTCTAACGTGTGGGTTGCCTGAGCCACATGATAGCCATAAATGTAGCTATCACATAACCATACATTTACATAAGACTGGATTTTTTGGTTGTTTTGTTCACCTGCCTGTTGGATGGATTTGTTTGTTTTGCTTTTTTAACTCTCAAAGTTGAGAACTTGAACTTTGTAGACCACAATTTTCTGTCAGAATGCCAAAAGGCTGGACATGCCCATGAGTACTAGTAAATAACAAATGTTAAAACCACTCTGGGATTCTGATGGTCAGTCAATGGAATACAGTAAACTAAAAGATGACTGGCTGACTGCACTGTTAAGATGTCCAAAAACTGTCCATATCATATGCTTTCATCTTCCCTTGCAACAAATAAAAAACAAGTAATGACAACGGAAGTTGTGATATCAGTTCAAAATACATGGGGTTTCCAAAGTATCGAACACAGAAACAGAATTGGAACTGAAAGTTACATAAACCCATGACAGCACATTAATGGCAAATATATTAGAAATGAAGGCCACCTCTCCATGATGTCACAATGCTGGCCTCGTGTTGTTTGTTCCCTCACATTCCTGGGACCTGGTTGCCATTACTATTCCCTTTCCAGGTATCTAAGGCACAGAAGCTACACTTCCCAAGGACACCAGCAGCAAGCGACTCAGTGTCCAAGCCATGAAGTTCTTTGTTCCTCCGTATCCTTGTTTTTTCAAACTCTGCTGTCATGCTGTCCCCATGGCTACCTCTTCACTGTGGCCGTTCCAGGCTTCTCTTCTTCTCCCAGCCATTTACTGAGGATTTTGTCCTTGGTTTTCTTTCTTTTTCCATCATCATGAATAAATGCATGAATTTCAAGGGAACCTCTGGGTACAAACTATCTCCAAGCCTCTGAATCTTTCATCCCAACTACCTCTTGGATAGATCTATCTTCTTCATGACAGACTATCCAAACTCACCTGTCAAATTCAAGCTGGGGGAAGCACTAAGTTCCCTAGTTCTCAACAGCACCACCATGCTAATAACTATTTCATGCAGATGGAGACTTCTAGGAGGCACCATTCCTCCATCTCTTCCTCCTGTTCCTACTTCCAGCCCTAGTCATATCCATTCTAGTTTCCCAAGAGCCCTGACTCCAGCCTCATAGTTCACATTTCTCACCCTATGCTAGGTCAGTTGCTGGCACCTGTCTGCCAATCTCCTCAACCTTGTTATAGAATTACTCCTTCTTGTCCATTCTTCACTTGGAAGCCAAAGATCGGGTGTTTCCCTGCTTGTGGTCATTCCATGCCCCCCTCGCTGCTCTCTGGACAATCTCCACACTCCTCCAGGCAGCTAATAAAATGTATTACTTGATCTTCTTAACTGTAGCCTGAACTCTTGTAGCTTTTAGCAGGGCTCAGTTCCAGCCACAGAGAATGCAAGGCTGTCTCTGCTCCCTTATGTTCTTCCTAGAATAGTTTTTCATCCAACTCAGAACTTTGTCTTCCTTCCTTCACTGACCCTCAAAGCCTTGCTCTTGTAAGCTGCCATGCCACTCAGAATTTCTCTTGTCTTAGGAAATGACAGATTCTACAGCATTCCACCTAGCCAGTTACCTCTGTCTCCTTCAGCAGATCCTTGTGGCTATACTAACAGTATCTGAAGCACAGCCAGCAACATGTATTTGCTGAATGACAGAATTAAACAAAGAAACATCAACAAGCCTGCACACAAACACAGCTTTAATTTCTTTCTTTAAACTTACCTCAGAGTCCTGGGCAGTGGTTCCTTTATCAAGCTAGAGGTTTCTGGGCAGCTACTTCCAATTCTTAGCTAATATAGAGCCTCTCTCTGTAAGATATCTTCACAAACCAACTTTCTGAAATAATCTTCTCAGTTACCTTCCTTCAAAATCTTTGTTGTTTTTTTTGTTACCACTTGTCTCAGCATTTTAATGCCTAGCTGCATGTTTAGTACTTTACCCTTCCTCTGCGGTGACTCCAGGAGGCAAGGCCTGATTCTCTTTCATTCACCACTATCTACCTAGCACTCGGTATCCACCTGATCCACAAGTGACTCCAGATATGTCTGATGAAGAGGGGAACTTATCAAGGACTAATACAGTTTCTACAGCATCATGCCCACCCCTTGTAAAATTTAACTCTCCCATAAGATAAAATAAAGTTTTGTCAATATTGCTAGACAACCAAAAATACAGACTTATTAAGAGTGCTCTCCCCTACTTTTGGCATCCACTTTTTGGTGTAGTACTGAACGTGGGGCAGTGGGCCAACAACAACAAACACAACAAAGACAGCTACCAATCTCCAGAAAAGCTGGTCACCATTCCATTAACTACTAAGCATTAACAAGCAAGTACGTGAGAAGAGAATCCCTTGCCTTTTAGGCTCTTCATGTGGCCCTCTTTGCAGTCTTGCATGAGTTTGAGGGTCCATTTGTGCTGCGCTCCGATACACTGCCAAGCAGGGTCCCCAGGGGCATGGAGGTCAGAGAGATACCTGAAAAAGCAAAGCGCAAGGTCCCTCCTGTTATGACAGCAAAAGCAAAGGTTGGTGTTGTAACATCACTACCATTTTTGAAAGAAAAGCTAAAACCTAACAAACTATTAAAACACTTGCCAATATTTGTCTTCAATACTTTGTTCATAATGAAATATATTAAACTGTTTTCATTCGATAGAAAATGATAAAGTTGTAGGGTTTTCCTTTTTTTAATTTCATGTGTATTATGTTTTGCCTACATTATGTATGTATACCATGTGAGTTACTGGTGCCTATGAAGATCCGAAGATGGCCCTGGGTTCCCTGGAACTGCAGTTATAGGCAGTTGTGAACTTCTATGAGGTTACTGGAAATTAAACCCAGGTCCTCTAGAAGACCAGCCAGTGCTCTCAATAACTGAGCCATCTCAGCAGACCCAGCTGTAGGTTTTTAAATGATCTCTTTGCCTGGGAGTCAACAAGAAAGACAAAAACAACTTGACAAAGGCCAAAACTTGTAAGAATTTGGTGAGAACACTTCTTTATATTTAAACTTACTTTCGCTTTCTTATTTAAAGAAAAACAAAAGGTGTAGGTAGAGGGCGAAGAAGGGAGGAGGGAGAGACAGATGGAGAGAGTGGGGGAGGAAGAAACCAGCTGACCACTAGTGGTCAGAAGCAATTACACTTCCATTTATCAGTCATACCAGATCCACTGGACATCCCTTCCACTCTCCTCCACGCCTGCAAACGCAGAAGTGGTAAACACCACATCATAGTGACCATTAACCATGACCCCGCAATCCAAAGCGGTTCAATCTAAACCTGGGGTGGGGTGAGTTTTTTGTTTTTGTTTTCTGTTTGAGGAAGATGGAAAAACTAACTTTATATTTGAATTACTTCTCTCAAGTGTTTCTATCACTGGAGAGTCATTTCATTTAACCTAGCTGGGAGCCAGCAGAGGGCACTGAGTGAAAAAATTTCCCCCTCTCTGGTATGAAATATGGCCACTGGATGGCAATGTGACACTGTTCTTCAATGACTTACGTTAGAGGTCACTGAAATTTGAGCTCTCTTTGACAACATGCACTTACCTCCAGGGTGTAAACTAATTCACAACTGAAAAACTATTTCTCTATAAAATGTAGTGCAGATGGACACTTTCTTAACTTTCAAAGGTTCTTAAAATATTTAAAGTTTTCTTTGTGCAAGAAATACCCACATCCATGTAGAAAATTTAAATATACTTCAACTGAAATTTTCCTTTCAAACATGATTTGTTTGGCCCTAGCCTTTACATAATACACACATGTACCAACTCCAGAAGCATGTTCAAATGAACTTACTACCCTAAAATAATTTTTAACCCTTAGCTTCTTTTGTCTTGAGGTTAAAAATTTGTGGTCCATGATAAACGTTCATTGATGGTTACAAGCTGTGACCTTAGCTGAGTCCTAATCACTGGGGGCATACCCACATTTCTTTAGTAGTGGGCACTCATTACTCAGACATGATGCAATTAGCAGCTAATTAGAGGAGAAACATATCCATTTTGTAATAAGTTCACAACAAACAAGATGTTGAGCAGAAACCTGGCATGCATTTAGAAATGCCCCACCCCAACCCTGACCCTCAGGAGCTAATGGCTCAGAGGCCTGACTCCCCAAGAGCAGCAACTCTGCCTGCAAAGCACTGCAATGGCTGCCTGCTCTCCCTGCAGCTGTCCAGGGGCTGCGAACAGCTATGTCTAATGCTGAGAAGGAGGACGCCAACTTAAAGGAAGAATCTACTCATATAAAGAAGGCACCTAGGAGCCTTCTTCATTTGTGAGAACACACTCCTCAGAAGGAAACCACATTCCAGCAAATTACATTTACCTTACTTAGTATGAGGAATTCAATCCAAACAAGCTCCCCAAATCCAAGCTGACTTTTCCTCTCCCACAGAGCTTTCTCTTTTATTGTCTGGGATATAAATGCAGCAAACAGTAGCCTGTGTCTTCCCTTCCCTATGAAACACGTTCTGTCCTTTGCTGCGGAGAGCTGCACCAATCTCCCTCCATGGCTGCTTTGCATCTGGGCACTGCAGAGCAGCACCTGGACTGTCACTCACCCTCCAGTTGGCTGTCCACTACGAAGTACAGCAATGTTCTCTGACAGAGCTGCTTCCTTCGCTGTCAAGTTACTGGCTAAGACTGAGGAGGGCAGCACTCGGCCCTCTAGCAGCAGCCCAGCAAACTGGCTTTGTAACTTCAAAAACTGTACATCTCTTTAACATAGACACGACGGCCCTGAAATTCTTAATAATCCTCTAATCTTACATGAAAAAACATTTTATGAAGAAAAATGAAGTTATTGTCTCAAAAATTCTAGAGAATGTTTCAGTTAGAAAGTGTGATGTTTTGTTCTAGACGTCAGTAAATTTCTTTTTAACACCAAGCTTAAAACTGGCAGTTTCATTACAAAGATCTTTGTTTAGATGGTGCAGGCTATTGCTTTTTCTTTTTAAATGACATATAAGAGAACATTTTTGGAAAAGGCTTTCTAGAAGGATAGGGAGGGAAAGAATCTTAATTCTGATGAGCACAGATTAATAGTTTTACAATTTAAGGGGGAATATTTTCAATGAGAATGGGCTAAATCCTCAGGAAAACAAAACAAAGGAGACCCAAAAGCATTTCCAGCCACCCTCTCTGCTGAGGGAGTAGGGCCACACTGCCACAGAGAGAAGAGAGGTGAGCTCTGCTTCTTACTAAGCGACAGAGAAGAGGGTGCCTTCAGTTATGCCTGGGGAGAGCCAGGCAGCACAGCAGTGTGCTGGCAGAGACCCTCTGGCACGCCCAGCTGTGCCCAGCCTGTCTGGCTTTACTTGGTGCTCACAGGACCTATCACCATAGACATAAAAGTCAATCAGACTTGACCTGGCTCTGATCTTATTTTCCTGTTCATTAATGGCTAGAAATGTAAATTTTAAAATTAATCATCAGGTTTCTCAGTGCCTTCTCAATGTTGTACCCTGGAGTTTAGCGTACTGCTGTAAGCAAATTTAGCTTGCTCACATGTGACAAGGGAGCTGACCTTCCAAGGCACGACGAAGCTTCCCTCAGACACTTGGCTAACTCACTCCAGGTTTATTCCCATTTTAAATCTGCAATTCTGCAAGTCAGGAAAGTTCCTCGTGTATACATTTCCTCAGAAAGGCAGCCGAAGAAAGGCAAGGGAGGATCTGGCACCAGAAAAGCAGGTGTCCTGGTGTGTCTGCTGGACAAGCTCGGGTTCCTCAGCCTACTTGGGCCCTTTGGCCAGAAAGGAAACACAGTTAGTACCCAGCCCAGTGTAGGCACAGGGACTGCATTTCCCAGCAGCAGCAATCAATTTCAGTGCTCTCTGGCTCCACTGCTAAATCCTCTGTCCTACATCTGCTCTCACCATTCCCATCTTAAATGCAAGTCCTTAGTCCCTCCCAACAGTGTTCAGGCCAGGCCATCTTCCCAGGCCTACAGACAGTATTTTCGATGACCACAGGCAAACACACACATATATGTATGTATTATATTTCATTTTCAAGCTACTGAATTTTTAATAAATTCTATTAATTAAAGAAATCATTGAACTCGGAAAATAATGGCTTATTCTGAAAACACACCACACTTAAGATAGCCTGCAGAAAATAGGTCAGCATTTTTAAATCTCAGATACAAAAATCTTATGGTTTATGTTTCATCTCCAAGTGCAGGTATAAGCTATGTACAGATAAAACTTACTGCCTGCTCCTAACGTGCCAAGTTTGAGATAACTCCTTAAATAAATCAACTTCTCACCAATCCTGAGACTCAGCTCTGCTGCCTGTGGTGTTCGCTTTGCAGATGAATAAACTCAAGTGCAGGACTCCTGTGAGCTGCCCAGAATGAAAGGCTCACTCCTACAAACAAGCTGACTCCTCAGCTGCTCTATCACCCTGGGAGGTCCATCTCTTCTAATTGTGCTCGTTATTTTTACAGTATTCCCAACTGAATATTCCCACAACTACTTTTCTCAATGATCACTACAGGCTTAAAAACTGACATACATTCAAAGGAAAACCTTCCATATCCTTTGCTACCGTCAAGCATGGCACATTCCTGATCTATAATTTCTCACCTAGCAGTACTGTGCACTAAACCACAGTGGAGCACCCACCTTATGGAGCATGGCATTTGCAGGGTACAGCACCCAGTCCACCTGGGAGTCAGATGGTCACCATTACTCAGCAGGAGGAACAGGTGAATGAGCAATGAGACTGCTTTTCCACTGACATAGCTGGCAGGTCATCTTTCCTTCAGAGAGGGAGCTCCCCATAACTGCTCCCAATTTATTCATATTGAAGGGATATTCATGTTCTACACCAGATACCTCCACATTTCTATTGTCTTCCCTCTCACCATTTCATCAGTCTCCTGACTGCCCCAGATAAGCTTTTCAGGCTTCACAATATATCCCATCAATATACTCAATATGTCACAATTCTTACAAAAGTTTTACCTTATGTAACGCTTTTGGTCATGTAAAGTTGATGGAGTCTCAAGCAGTTTCTTTAGAAGTAATTCTCTTAGATCTTCAATTCCTGCTTCTACTTCAGCATAATCTATTTTTAAAAGATGCAAGATTTACAGAACTGAACTTAAAATCAAATTTAGAAAGCAGAATACTGGTTGCTTTTTGACTGAGAAAGAGACACAAGGGACCTTTGTGGAGGGGTCATAACATACCATCCCAAGTGTATGGGAGGGCATAAGCATCCATCAGAATTCAGTGACCTGTAACATGTAAGGTCTGTGCATTTCACTGCAAGTAAATTTCACCACAGTAAAGAAATAAATTCTGCTTTTTGAGACCTTCTGGGTTTCATTTTTTTAAATTTAATAAGACCTATAGTATTTCTCCTAGTTAGTAAGTTTTTAACCATAAGATATTTAAGCTTTTTTTTTCCTGTAAACCTGGTATTCAGAGTAATTTTTTAAAGTATTGAGTTTGCTTTAGAGTAAGATTAGAACTCACAAACACACTGTTTTAGCTTGAAGAGGGAAGACTGAAATGCATGTTTCCACATCTGTAAAAGGCTTGTCGCTGCTTCTTTCTAGTATGAAAGCTTTCAATAGCACTGTGGTTAATAAACAGCAGAGTATCTGAGACTAACCCCCACCCACCGTAAATGCTCATTCCCACTACACGGCAGGAAGAAAACGTGAGAGGTAATTTTGAACTAGCTGTTTTACATTTTAAAGAAAGCACCACATAAACAAGGTCTAAGATGCAAGTAGCACTCTTTGTAGAATATACACTCCACATAGAAGTAGCAAATAAATCTTACATTTCTTGAAAACTTGCACCTCTGTTTTCCCAAAGAGTGACTTGGCTTTTTCATAATCATTAATAACCACATCATAATCGCCCTTGAAAAGAAGAAACACACCATGAGATCATCAGAAAAGAACAGTAAGCACACTGGTTAATATAAAACATCTTAATGCATCCTTAACATTAGCAGCATCTATAACTGTACATACACATGGACTCTACCTTTTGAATATTCCGTTTAATATTGAGAGGAAGGTTGAAGAGAAATTTAAACCGCTGAAGCACATTGAGTGCATTCCTAGTGGAATCGGCCTTGTCTTTTCGACCTAACACTTCTTGAAATAATGTGTCAGCAGTATTACTTGCTCCTGTTTTCAAAAGAGAAAAAGGCATACAAGTGACAGTGACCGGAATTTGAACACTAAATACAAATGTTCAATTGCTACTGTATCTTTACACTGGAATTCAGTAGACTTTTTAAAAAACTACCTATATAGAGATTGTTCATAGTTGGCTAAAATAAAGTTTGTTTTTTAAGTCCTTTCATATGTTAAGAATGCTATCTAAGCCGGGCGGTGGTGGCGCACGCCTTTAATCCCAGCACTCGGGAGGCAGAG